TCCGGTCCTTAATGACATTGTTGAGGCCTTGCAGCCTTCAGACTTATTATGTGAGATAGTAAATGCCTTTATTGTTTATGTGAATTTTAGTTGGATTTGTTATTGCTTTTGTTTTTTAGGAGATGAGGTCTCACTGTGTTGTCCAGGCTGTTCTCAAACTCCTGGCCTCAAGAGATCCTTCCACCTTGATCTCCCAAAGTGTTGCAATTATAGGCATGAGCCACTATGCCAGCCTCAATTGGGTATTCTTTACATGCAGCTGAAAGCTTTCTAACCAGTATCCCATCCTACCATATAGGTTATCCAATAGCATGAGGTTGGCTCATACATGCTTGTAGTCCTACATTTTCAAAACTTTTAGATGCTGGTTGACAACATAGTAGCTATGGTGGGAATGTTTCCACTCCAGAGATTTGCAAATACTACAAATCAGGCTGTCCCCAACCAAGAGTCTGTTGTCGAATATCTACCAGTACATAACTGGTTCCATTTGCAGTCCAAAGAATGTTCCTAAAATGCCATGCTAGCCGGGCTCGGTGGCTCAGCCTGTAATCCCCCGCTTTGGGAGGCTGAGGTGAGTGGACTGTCTGAGCCTGCGGGTTCGAGACCCGCCTGGGCAACTTGGCAAGACGTCATCTCTACAATAAATCAAATAATTAGCCGGGTGTGGTAGCGTGTGCCTGTAGTTCCAGCTACTTGGAAGGCTGAGGCAGAAGGATCACTGGAGCCCAGGAGTGGCCACTGCGCTCCAGTCTGGGCGACAGAGTGAGACTTCAACTCAAAAAAAAAAAAAAAGCCATGCTTACTCAAAATAACACAGGTACACATTATACTTGCAGAGACACTGTTTTCACTTTACCTAATAACAAATGGAAGAACACATTTCAGCGTGACGATTTTTTACCACTCACAGGCACATACTTAATGATTTGAAAACATTAATTTCACTAAAGCAGTGATAATTTCAGGAACCCGTGATGTGTCCTTTGTGTTGGGATCCATCTTCCCGTTTCATACATCAAGTATGTCTAGCTGGGTGCCTGCCCCTTCATATCCAAATGGGTTGTCATCTCCTGTACTTAGATTTGTTGTGGTTTGTTTCTTACACTAGTCTATATTCTCCTGATCTGTACTCAAGACACCCTCCTCCCCACCACTCTTGGGCCCTTTCTTGCTGCCTTACTCCAGGAAAAGGAGTGATGCTACAACAGTTCATCTTTTTTTTTTTTTTTGAGTTGGAGTCCCACTCTGTCGCCCAGGCTGGAGTATAGTGTCACGCTCACAGCCACCACAGCCTCTTTCTACTAGGCTCAGGCAATCTTTCTGCCTCAGTTTTCCAAGTAACTGGAACCACAGGTGCACCCCACCCCACCCAGCTAATTATTTGATTTATTGTAGAGACAAGGTCTCACCAAGTTGCCCAGGCTGCTCTCAAACCTCTGGGCTCAGGCAATTCTCTTGCCTCTGCCTCCCAAAGTGCTGGAATTACAGGCAAGAGTCACTGTGCCCAGCTACAACAGTTCATCTTCAAAGACATTTGATTGGCTATTGCTAGCTAAAATTCTCATTCTGCCTTGTTGAAAAGGCTCATGGACACATGGGTTTTTCTTTGTTGGCTTGGAGTGGCAAACAGATGGGCCACTCCAACAAGCAGGAGGCACTGCTAGCTTTTAACTTTTGTTTGGCCCATGTGAACTCTCCTCCTCCCTCTGGGAAAAGGAATGGGCACCTCTCTCGGAGGTGGGAAGGATCTTTCTTCCTTTTCTGATGCTCTCTTTTTCCTATGTGGCTACAGAGGCCTGTCGGGGCCTGAGAAGGGGTGGGTTTAGGGGTCATTATTTACTTCCTAATTTACTTGTTGCCATAAATCTTGTACCTATGTTTCTTGTGGCTAACAGGCATGGCCTTTGTTCCATGAAAGTGGTAAGATCCAAAACTCAGTGTGGGCTTGGATAGACCTTCTGGCCTACCGGGTTCTGGGCTACTGGAGCCTACCTAGCTGGGCACAGCAACTGTGTCCAGTCTACTGACTGGATTCCATGTGGGGCTTGGGTTTACCAAAGATGCTTGTCACGCACTGCTTTCCCTCTCAGGAAGAGGGTGCTGAGGCACGTCAAGATTGGACTGGGTTCCGCTGGATCACGGGAAAACTTTCCTGCCCAAGTATTGATCTTACTGCAGAGTCAAAATAGCCTGTGAGTTGAGCTTACTGTCCAGCTCCAGCCCATGCTGGTCCACTGTGCCACAATACAATAGGTGAGTGAGTTGTGTCTACTCTGACCCTGGTGCTCAAGAATTCAGCCAATTTACCTTAGTCTTTTCTGGAGTTGGACTGGGTATTTGTCTGGGCCCCATGACAGTTTCTGAGTCCCAACTCCCGTGTGTCCGTGAACCAATCTGAATTTGATCTGGTCGTCTCCAAGCTGCCGACCTTTTAAAGAGTTCTTCCAGCTCCATATGTTCTTCAATCATAGACTCTTTAGGCCTCAAACATGCCTGACCTGGCCAGGTCCACGCTAGCCTACACTGGACCTTTTTCAGTGGTGTTAGAAATGGACTCTGGGAGCAGGAAGTGGGGCAGGAGCCTCGATTTGTAGCATTTGTGATCTCTCACTAAACACGCCCACTAGTGCCCATTAAAAGCTACCTATTTTTGGAAGGCTGAGGCGGAAGGATCGCCGAGCCCAGCAGGTCGAGGCTGCGGTGGCCGGGAATGGCCACTGCACTCCAGTCTGGGCTCTTTGGGAGCCAGCAAAAGCCAGCTGCAACATACCATTGTTTTGCACATTTTATTCAAAGGCACCCCTTTGAGCAAATTAGAAAAAGGTACCTCTTTTGGGCAGACCTGGGCGAGCAGATGGCAGATGCCCCTTTCTCCACACATAGCTCGTTGAAGGGAATGAGAACTTGATTTTAAGCCCATTCACCTCCATAACTGGATACCTTTATGTAGTGCACAATCCCCACAACCTTACATGACAGTCCTGGCTGGCTCATGACCACTCTGCAAAATGGATGAAATAAAGAAAAAAGAGAATCAAGTTACCTAGCAGCCTGAAAGCTATAGGTAGATATTGCCAGTTGGAACACTAGTTGTTCTTAAAACTAGTGTAATTAATAAAAGGCTAGTATTGCTAAAAAGAGCCTCCACTGATAGCATTCCAAGGATAGCTACAATACAGCTAAAAAGACTTAAGAAATGTGATACCTATACTACTACATATGTAGATTCCAGCTATTAAACAAACATATATAACTTTAGTGATTTAAATCCCAGTAGTCAAACACAGGTGTAATGTGAAGACAGACTGAAATTTAATGTAGTTCTTGACTGTTTCACAAGCATTTTTTCATAACTCCTATTTAGCCTGCCAATTATTCTGTGAAGGTTATCCTCTCCCATTTTTTTGTTTTTACAGATGAGGAAGCAGGCTGAGAGATTAAATAACTCAAGGTTACTCAGAAAATGGCTGGGCATGGTAGCTCCCAGCACTTTGGGAGTCTGAGGTGGGAGAATTGCTGGAGCCCAGGAGTTTGAGACCAGCCTGGGCAACATAATGAGACCGCATCTTTACCAAAAAAAAAAAAAAATCAGCCAGGTGTGGTGGTGTACACCTGCAGTTCCAGCTACTCAGGAGGCTTAATCAGAAGTATTGCTTAAACCCAGGAGGTCGAGGCTGAAGTGAGCTGTAATCATGCCACTGCATTCCAGCCTGGGTGACACCAGAGTGAGACTCTGAAAAAGAACATAAAGTAGACCTGAGACCAGTTCTTTTCACTAAATTCCCCACGCTTTATATGGCTATATGCTTCTACAGACATAGTTCAGTATTGTGAAGAAGACAATTTGAGATGTCTCTGGTGAAGATATTTTATTTTTCATAAAAATATCATTGTACAATGCTCTTTAGAGAAAGAAAAATTCCTTCAATGCCCCAAAATACCATGTGGTTTAACAGTAATCTTCCTCCTTTTAAAAACTAAATATGTAATTGAAAAGATGCAACTGATTTCTTGTGAAATATCGCATTTATGTTTTTACAATTTCTTTGCTTTCATTTTAACAAAAGGTAAGTTCAGTTTAAACCTGTACTTTTTGTAATTAGCCAAATCAAAGCTATCGCAATTCAAAAGATGATAAAATAAAATGCTAAACAGTGATGCCGATAAATACCGTCAATTAGCTGGTAAACAGTGATATAAATTTGCTGCAGTAAGATAGTTCTGATTTAGATAAAATAGAAAGATTTTAGATAAAATAGAATCTTTTTTTAAAGAACTTCAACTATATCCTAAAACTTGACCTGGTCAGACATATTCCATATTCAGTTGCTCTAATGTACAGCAGGTTGATGCTAAAATAATGACAGAATATGACGGGTCTAAATATACAAATATATTCCCCCCCCCCTTATCTTTCTTTCTTTGGGAAAAAAAGAAAAAGGAAACATGACTCTGTTTCCTCAGAGAGCAAGGAGAACAGTGCCTTCTCCTGAACCCCGATTCTCACAGCCTTTTGCCACCACAGGTGAGAGCCACCAGGACTTCAGTGGCTGCTCCTTCCCTGAAATGGGGAAGGGATCGCCCCAGCTGTGGTCATCGGTGACATTTACCAACATGCTTCCACGTGGCTAAAGCATGTAGCTAGCATAACACTCAAATCAAAACATTCCTTTTTAAGACAAGGAACTTTCTCTTGGTTTAATCTCCTCGAAAATACCACATAGACAGGTTAAGGAATAAACTCAAATAATTTGTAATTTACCTTCACCCCAAATTACACATCCTCTACCTGAGGACAAAGTCACTGCTCTTGTGAAGATCCTAGCGGGGAAGGGAGGAAGCTCAAGTGACCTGTAATTTAGGATTACAAGCAGAGAAGAAACACTTCCATCACAATAGAGACATTCCATTGAAGAGCCACATTCATTTTGGAATGTTTGCTTTGAAAACAACTCTTATGGGGGAACTCAAAAGGTACTGAACAAAGCAACATAAAGTAAATCTTGGGTTGTTTTGCAAAATAAAAATATACAGTTGAGTAGACCAGAAGGCAAAAACATACCCAGTTACAATCTGAACGTTCCATTTAAACACTTAAATCCTGAGGGCCTGAATATCAACAATCCTTAATCTATTTATATTTATGATCCTAAAAGACATTAAATACTCTTAAACCCCCAATTTCCCAAACATAGACCCAACAAGCTGGGCTAGTGGTATCAGTAGTCACACACGAGTAGACTAGACTCGGGATCCGAGTGTGCAACCGAAGCACACGAGGTCTTCAGCAACTCAGGCAGAAGGGAGGCACTTGGTTCAAACGCGTGGCCTGAGAGAAGGAGGAAAGTACCTTGTCATCTTCAACTACGTGGTCCATCTCACGGTCTACCTCGAAGACAATCTAGACTATGGTGTCTCCTCTTACACTGCCAGTATTGTGTGTGGAAGCCAAATATTTGCTTCATTAGAGTGAAGAACAAGTCTAATTTAGCAGCAATAGAGAACACAACTCCTGCTTTAACTATGGGAAAGAGAAGAGGGAGTGATAAAGTGCCTCACTGGGGAAATCCAAAGAGTCCTGGGTCTGTATGAGTGTATCATATTATGGGCCGATTCCTCAACCATCACTCCACTGCACAGCCAGGAAGGAAGGAAGGAAGCTCAGCTATAATGGGATCTGGAAAGAACTGCTCTGCCCTTCTGCGTCTCCAGCGAGGCCCACTAGCTGCGGTGCTGCCCTGCATGGCAGAGGCCTGGTCAGAGCAAGACCACTCACACGCCCACAGTGCGCTGCTTTCAGCCCAGGACACATTCGTAAGAACAGAGAAGAAACTAAGGGTCTGCTTATGGCTGCAGCCATTAGATCTACCAGCAATTTGTCCCTTGTTTTGTTCCAGATCTCAAGGCAGAAACTGAAATCTCAGTAGCCAGTTTCATCCTATTTTCTTCAGAAGAATTCCCCAATTTAGTTGAGTACACAAGAAAATGTGTGTGAACATTCACTCCTGTCCTCCCCACGTACATATATAGACATACAACAGAAACATGAACATACATACACACTCTAGGTTGTCAAATCATGTATGCTGCTGAAATGCCTGAAAGATTCCTTCTCACTTAAAAATAAAATTTGACTAATTATTCTCCAAGTATGGATTTGGCCCTACCAAACTTTTATAAATATAGCTTGAGAGGACAGCAACAAATGTTTTAAACAGAGGCTGTCTTGAGGGTTTTCCTGATGGATCGTTAACATGTACACCATTTAAAACAGGCATATTATTATGGATTATAAAAATAGAAATGTATATATTTGTTAATACATATTCACAGCTTTTGCTGGAATGGCTCACAGGAGAAATCATGGTTCATGCAGAAAATATACATTACTCAAGTAAATACAAAGAAATAAGATTAGGTCCATCAAGGCTGAGAACTTAGCCATCAGCTCATTTGGTTTCTCGTGGAGGGCAATCAAAAACACGAAAGGAGGTAACACCTACACACACTTACACACACAACTACACAAACCACATGGAAAGAATATAAATTAACCAAGAAAGCAATGTGGAGTTAAGGTGCAAAAATACCATCTTCGCCCATTTTCTCTACTCCTGTGTTTTCAAGCATCACAACATGTTAAACGTCACAGGTGGCAATACCAACCAAAGCAGGCCTGAATGTTTGTACATTTTCTAAGTGTGGAGAGTTAAAGCAAGATCCTTTGAGACCTATGATCGCACATTTTGGTAGCAACTGCAGATTTACAGAGACGACTACTGAGCAGCAGGTAGTAAATGCAGCCAAGAAGTACACTGTTGCCCATTCATCCTCCGTGGCTTCAATCACTGACTCACTTTATACGATCTTCACCCTGAAAAATAAATTAAAGTAACCAGTGTAAGAAAGTTGTTTGTTTGTTTTTTGAGTTGGAGTCTCACTCTGTCGCCCAGACCGGAGTGCAGTGGCACTTTCCCGGCCACTGCGGCCTCGACCTGCTGGGCTCTGGCGATCCTTCTGCCTCAGCCTTCCGAGTAGCCAGAACTACAGGCGCGTGCTACCATGCCCAGTTAATTTCTTTGATATATTGCAGAGATGAGGTCTCGCCAAGTTGCCCAGGGGGGCTCAAACTCGTGGGCTCAGGCAATCCACTCACCTTGGTCTCCTAAAGTGCTGGGATTACAGGCTGAGCCACCGAGCCCGGCCTTGTACGAATATTTTTAAAGTCACTGAAGTTTGGTTAATCTGTCTCTAAAATGCATGAATTTTTTTTCAGTTTAGTATCTATCTATGCAAAGGCTACTTTTAAAAAATACATACTGAGCCAGGCGTGGTGGCTCACGCCTATAATCCCAGCACTTTGGGAAGCCAGGGCAGGAAGATCACTTGAGCCCAGGAGTTTGAGACCAGCCTGGGCAAAATAGCAAGACCTTGTCTCTATTAAAAAAATTAAAAAATTAAAAAGCTATATAAATGGCCAAAAAGCACATGAAAGATGCTTAACATCATTAGATATTAGGGAAATGTCAATCAAAACCACAATGAGGTACCAGTTCACACCCAGTAGAATGACTAAGTTTGTTGGAGTTTTTTTTGTTTTGTTTTGTTTTGTTTTTTGAGTAGGAGTCTCACTCTGTCACCCAGGCTGGAGCACAGTGGCATAATTGTGATTATTACCACAGCCTTGACCTCCTGAGCTCAAGCAATCCTTCTGCCTCAGCCTCCCGAGTAGCTGGGACTATAGGCACACACCACCACACTCAGCTAATTTTTTTTATTTTTTTGTAGAGATGAGGTCCCAGGCTGGTCTAGAACTCCTGGGCTCAAGCAATTCTCCCTCCTCGGCCTCCCAAAATGCTGGGGTTATAGATGTGGGCCATAGCAGCCACAGCAGCTAAGAATGGCTATAGTTTTTAAAAATAGAAAACAAGTATTGGGAAGATATGGAGATATTGGAACAGTTATACAATGTATAGTCACACATTGCTAGTGCCACTGTGGAACAGTGTGGTAATTCCTTAAAAGGTTAAAACTAGTCAGGCGTGGTGGCTAATGCCTGTAATCCCAGCACTTTAGGAGGTGAAGGTGCGAGGACTGCCTGAGTCCAGGTGTTGGAGGTCAGCCTGGGCAACTTGGCAAGGCCTCGTCTCTACAATAAATCAAAAAATTAGCCGGGCGTAGTGGCACATGCCTGTAGTTCCAGCTACTTGGAAGACTGAGGCAGAAGGATCGCTGGAGCCCAGCAGGGCGAGGCTGCGGTGCCTGTGAGCGTGCCACTGCACTCCAGTCTGGGCGACAGAGTGAGACTTCGACTCAAAAAAAGTTAAACCTAGAATGACCACATGACCCAGCAACTGACTCCTAGGTACATATCCAAAATAATTCCAAACAGGAATGCACACAAATCTTGTGCATGTTCACAGCGGCACCATTCACAATATCAGAAAGGTAGAACCCTGAATATCCATCAATAGATGAACGGATCAACAACTGTAGTATACATATACATAGGAATATTATTCGGCCGTGAAAAGGAATGAAGTGCTGATACAAGCTACAACGTGGATGAACCTTGAAAACATTATGCTAGGTAAAAGAAGTCAGATACAAAAAGTCACATATTGTACAGAGTCCATTTACATGAAACAGCAAGAGTAGGTAAATCCATAGAGACAGAAAGCAGATTCATGCCATCAGGGGCTAGGGAGGGGGTAATGGGGAACCACTGCTTAAGCATTCTGGGCTTTCCTTTGAGGTGATTAAATGCTTTGTAACTAGATAGAGGTGTTGGTTGTACAACATTGAGGATGTATTAGTGCCTCTGAATTTTACTTTGGTTAATTTTATGTGATGTGAATTTCATCTCAATAAAATATTCTTACAGTGATGGGCTACTGTACTAGAGCCTGGGCTAGGTGAGGGCAGGTTCCACCATCACAGCTGTGGGCCCTGGGCACCTCATCCAGACCCACTGCTACTTCTCTTCATCTATAAATAAGAAGTATAACTTCTTAACACAATAATTGGAGGAGATATTTAAGATAAATATAATTGAATGTACTTTGTAAACTGTAAATTGAAATACAAATAAATGGTAGTATTATTTACAAATACTAGGTTAGCATCACTCCCATTTATGGACTATGTCTACTTAAAAATTTTTCCATTCAAGCCGGGCTCGGTGGCTCAGCCTGTAATCCCGCGCCTTTGGGAGGCTGAGGTGAGTGGATTGCCTGAGCCCGAGGGTTCGAGACCCGCCTGGGCAAGTTGGCGAGACCTCATCTCTACAATAAATCAAAAATTAGCCGGGCGTGGTAGTGCATGCCTGTAGTTCCAGCTACTTGGAAGGCTGAGGCGGAAGGATCACTGGAGCCCAGCAGGTTGAGGCTGCGGTGGCCGGGAGCGGCCACTGCACTCCAGTTTGGATGACAGAGTGAGACTCCAACTCAAAAAAAAAAAAAAAAAAAATTTTCCATTCGTTTATCATTTGTTCTTTATAGACCCCAAGTAAAATGTATTTTAATATTTAGAATCTAATGCCATTTCACTTGCTTATGAGTATATTACAAATGACATCAACACCTGCCTTGAGACACTCCCTTGAATATAAATTCTCCATGGATTGTACTCACAGGAATTGCTAGTCGCATCTGTCTTCCCGGCCTTGGTATGCCTGTTTGTGTTCTGCTGAGATTTGCTCTGCTCCTCTCCAGTGAGGAGGGCCTTGATTTCAGAAGGGATTTTTCCCTGGTCCATTGCCATGCACCACTGTTTGTACTGAAACATGTAAAATATATTTAAGTAAATGTTCATTCATCAGAGTTCAGGAACCACGGGTAGAAACTCCCATGACGAGAGGTCAAATGGCTGCTGGGAATCCCATCCCCCGTGGTATCACCTTTTCATAACCTAGGACATATATGAGATCGGCCATCTTTCAGGAGAAGGTGGAAAACTCCTGCTCAGTCCTCTTATGGTGTAGTGGAATGTTGCTGAGATTCAAAAGATCCCTCTGGTTAAAAAAAATATCCCCACAATGTGCCACTAATTAGAATTCATGTTTTATAATTGTCACAATATCACCCCTTCTCCCAAAATAAACACATAAATTTTAGTAATGTCCTTTCTCTCTTTCCTCAGCAATCATGAAACATCTACCATCTCTCAGAGTGTATACTAACTAGAGACTCTGGGGGTATACAAAGATGAAGAGGACCAAAGATCGTGCCTTCAAGTAGCAAACATTACAGAAGGTAAGAAATAATTTATAACATAGGTCAAATTCAACATATTAAAAAAAATCTACTGAGTAGCGTATTTCTAGACAGTATATCCACTATTCATGTCGTTCTCTTTATGGCCCAACCTTATTTTCTTTCTTTCCCCAAAACCAGAGGTACCTATCCCAGTTTTGTGATGGTCAGAGTGGTACCATCTCTCTCTTCTCCCTGTCACCTCTTCCCCAACTTCACAGTAACAGGGTTTCAATTCTGTTTTATCTATTTTCTTTACATTTCTACAGTCACTACCCAAAGTCTGAATGAAGGAATAAAACATATAAAATATATAAATTCATTTAAACATAAATGGTATGTTATGCATAGTTACATCTTATTATGTTGCTTGTTTCACTTAGCAATATATTGTGAATATCTTTCTTTCTTTTTTTTGAGTTGGAGTCTCACTCTATTGCCCAGGCTAGAGTGCAGTGGCACACTTACAGCCACCCCAGCGTCAACCTGCTGGGCTCAGGGGATCCTTCTTCCTCAGCCTTTCAAGTAGCAGAAACTATAGGCATGCGCTACCAGCCTGGTTAATTTTTTGATTTATTGTAGAGATGAGGTCTTGCCAAGTTGTCCACACTGTTCTTGAACCCATGGGCTCTGGCAATCCTCTCATCTCGGCCTCCCAAAGTGCTGGGATTACAGGCTTGAGCCACCGTGCCTGGCAGCAAATATCTTTCTACATCAATAATAAATATATATGTACACTGTGATTTTTACTGGCTACAAAATAGTCCAATATATGAATGGAGTATAATTTATTCAACCAATTCCTTATTGTTGTACATCTGTGTTATTTTCATTCTCTTCTATCATAAACTATCCCTCAATGAACTAGTCATGCACATCGTTCTCCCACCAGCAGTGTATGAAAATCCTGTTTACCTACATCCTGGCTAACAGATTCAGATTCTTTCTAGTACTGGCCAAGTGGATGGTAAAAACTGCTATCTTGGTGTTTTAATGCATTCTTGCTTTGACTGCTAAGCTGAAGTTAATTTTTTCGTGTGTTTACTAGTACTTTCTTACCATTTCCAGTTCCTCTCTGAGGGCACATATAGCTCTTTCTCGACTGGATACCAACTCTTCCAAATACTGATATCTCAGCTTTTTTCTGGCCCGGCATTCTCTTGCACTCTGCCGGCTCCTCTCAAGTTTTGCTTTCAAGTCAATTTTGGCTGGCTTCCGACCACGTTTCCCGGGCTTTTTTACTTTGCCTCCAACCACCTTCAGCAAGACAGAGAAGAAATACTTTTTCTCCACTTAGCTCTGTGTATAGAAAAGCAACTGACTGCAAATTAGCAAAGAGAACATTTATAAATAATAAATAAGTGAAGCCTACGGAACTAAGAAAGCATAATCCCATCAATGGCCTCTGGGTCTTTGCCTTATCATTTTCTTTGATACTTTTGAAACCATGAATGTAAGAGAAGAAATAATGTGAGTTTTTATTATTTCCTTAAGAATAAAGTTTGACAGTAAAATAAACCATATAGAGAGGGATATAAAAAAACTAAAAGGTCACTACAAAATATTTTTTTCGTGAAAAATTTTTTGTTGCCAATTACAGTATTAAAATCAATATTCAAAATTGTAAGTTCATTATGATCTCAACATAAAACTACAGAGAAGGACGTCAACAAAGTCAATGAGGATTTCTCTGATAGGTGTAATTAGAAATCGCTTTTTGTCATCTATGTTTAAAATCATTTTTTAATGTTTATAATTAGAAAAAATATAAGTGTACAAAATCGTATGCATAAATAAATATGTATCCTAAGTGTATCTTATGTATCAATTAATTCCCTCTTCAAATCTGTTGAGCCCAAAGGAACACACAAGAAGTCCCTGAAATCTTCAGGGTAGTTTTCTCCTGCCTTTGGAAGCCTGTAATTAATTATAACCCTAGATGGTTTCAGTAGATTTCTACCTGCTCCCGCTGGTGTCAAAAACATCCTTTCAATATCCCTGTTATTCATCTACCTGCCTAGGCACAATTATTAGGCAAATGACCAAGTAATTTAATCCAATCTTCATTGTTTAGCTTTGAAACCTTCCCAAGTTCTTATACAAGATGTAACTATGATGTAAAGATGATGAACTTCTAAACCTAGAACCTGCACTTATATATCAAATAAATGTTCTTTGAAGCAGTCATTTTGAAAGGAGGTATATTTATTCCAATAATGGCACTGTTCAAAGCTTTTTTGGAAAGTCCTGGAACCATTTTTTACAAGCCATAACAAAATATGTCCAATTACTTTAGAGTTATATATATTATTCTTTAACGTCTCAAATAATCTGGTTATCTACTTTATTTATCGGCAAGGTTCTGGATGATATCTGGCTCTTTCTGAAAATCACCCTCAGAGAATAAAGTTTATGCCCTCAGCATACTAAGGCATTAAAGGCAATTCTAAAAGAGAAAACGCAAACACTGGCAAAATGCTGGAATAAATGCAGACACCTTCCCAGATAGCAAAACTTAAAAGGTCAATATTTGCTTGAATATAAAAATTCTGTTTTGTTTGGAATCACTATTAGTATCACACTCACAATGCCAAGTACAAAGATATATCACATAAAGATAAGATCATTACTAAGTATAATGGTTGGTCAAGAAAAACCACACTTTAAATGTGAATCAACCACATTTACCAGACTCTGTGTCATATCATGATGGCTAAGCGTGGTATCTTGCATTTTATGGGTGACTCTGAATTGAGACAGATTCCTCTAAGGCTCGGGGGGGGGGGATCTGTCCTTTCCACACCATCCTAAAAGCTAGCTGCTTTAGTACTACTCCTAAGTTAGTTTCAACTTTTCAAAAACTAAGTTTTTTAAAACTTTTCTATTCTACATCATCATCATTTTTTTTTTCCATCAAAACAATATACATTTCAGGAAACTCTTCTTCAGGGTGGAATATTCAAAAGCAATTGCAGGATGACCTAGTTGATCCAAATATTAACATGGGCTAAATTTTATATTATGCTTATATCTCATCAATTGCATAAATTTAAAAAAAATCTTGAAATCACCCTGCATTAAAACAAAAAGTATCTGCTATTGCTACCGTTTTAAAAAAGTAATATATTGCAGCATAAACTCATGTCTGTAGTGAAATAAATGGATAATGACATCTATTCTTTATGTAGTAAAATGAATCATCAATCATATGATGCTATAATCCAATACCTCATGTATTGCTGTTTTTAATTAATTCAGGAGTGTCTACCTTTGACAAGCCAGCAAGAGAACACAGAGTTCTTCATGGACTTCATTGATTTTTAAAACAAACCTAGCAGTGATAAAAATATCAAACAAAAGCTATAACACTTTTTGTTTAGTTTTCATGGTAACAAAATATTTAAACTGGAACTATTTTATTCATTTTTTATTAGGAAGGCATAGGAAATGAATCCAGGTTCCTGTATTTGATGTCATCTCCTGTAACATGACATTTAAAACCACATAACCACCACTTCTCTAGCTTAATTTTTCCTCAGTAATATGCTAACTTTTTTGGCTTCTGGTACCAGCTAATGCCTAAAGTTTTCAGGAGAGTAAAATTCATCACAGGATTATTGTAAATCTTAAGTATGGTAATACATATGAGAACACTTTGTAGAGAAAAAAAGTATTATACAAATGTAGGTTTGCATACAGTTGCCTTAACAACTGAACTTTATATACCTATTTCATAAGCCACAAAGATTGAAGAACAGATAGGGATAGGTAGTTAGGAACCAAGAACCAGAAGCTAACACTGGAATCAAACTCACAAATTCCTTACATACCCATGGGCCAAAAAAACATTTTTACCAATTCATAAAATTTTCACAAACTCAATGATAACCACATTGTTCCCTGTTCTTTCCTCAGACTTGCACTGTGAGGAAGCATATGCATACAGCTGAATAAAAGGACTGATTTTCATGCACCAATGCAAAGAAACTGTAAGAATAATCCAAACATCTAGGGGTTTTTTTTTCCTGCTTTAAATGTTTTTTCTATCACCTTAGAGCTACCATGTGAAAATGTAAACAGCTGGTTTTAAAACAGCATAACTCTGGCTGGGCTCAGTGGCTCGGCCTGTAATCCCAGCACTTTGGGAGGCCGAGGCAAGTGGATTGTCTGATAAAGGGCATATATGAAAATCCCACAGCTAACATCATACTTTTTTTTTTTTTTTGTGAGTTGGAGTCTCACTCTGTCGCCCAGACTGG